AACAATGTCAGGATATACTGTATTTACTCAAATACAAGATAAGTTTTTTCCCCAAATCAGCTTAGGGGGAAAAGCCCCTTATCTTATAACCACATTAAATATGTTGTCTATTATTAAACTGGTACAGAAAGCAGTATGTGCTCAGTAATGGAAACCAACTATGAAGCTGACTAAAAGCAGCCCATACTGAGCAAGACTAAAATACATGGCCCATATAGGACAAACAAAGTGATGGGAACCTACCACAAGGATAGGGTAGTGTAGCCTGTCTGAATAAAATATATGCTAGTGTCCATTGCATAGAGTCCCACATAGTGCCAACTCTTTTTCACATCATAGTGAACCACTACATTGAATACATTTCAACTACTTCATTCCCACGGTTGAGCTGCACATGTATTTCCCATTTCCAATACTTCCTGTTACTTCACCAGCCTTACATACCTTACAATCACCAACTAGAACCCCAAACAATTCATTTAGAATCCCTCTGTCGCCCCCTCCCTTTCAGCCTGTCATATGGCTAGTGTAGCCCTGCCCTCCATGAAGTGGAACCAGTCGAGGTTACCCTGTGCTTCATCTGCATTTAAATTTTTGGAGGATCCCAAGACTTGTGACAAGAACACTTGGTTCCATTCATGAGTGGGGGGACAGTTAGCACCTGGAGCCTTTGTGGAGGTACCTAGTGTACACATATACTGAGCAGTGGGGTCAGGGTCACCAGAGCTTGAAACATCATTGATTCCACTGAGGCCTAGCTGAATAAATTATATAGAAAAGCTTGAGCCTATTGGTTTTGGACTCAAATCATGAGCCTCTTGTAGGATAAGATCAAGTGTACTATATTCGATGTATAAGTAAGTATAAAAGTGCTGCTCAAAAGTATGTTGATGGAGTATCTGTGCTAAAACTTACAGCAGTTTCAGGAAAAGCAAAATGCTTCATTTCTGGATGAACAAAATCTGTGGGTACCTGTAGAAATTTGCCTACATGCAAATTTTGCTCCTCTTCTTTCATGTGTCTAAGAAGAGCAGGGGACAGTAACTGGGGGGAAGGGAAAGTGGCTGCAGGGGAAAGAATTTGGTGGGGGGGGGGGAATGTAAAGGGGCCTACCTGACCTCCTAGATTTATTTTCCCTGCTGTAGCTGTGGGAAGGGTACAAAAATTCAAAGCAAATCTCCAATAACTAGGTTCTGTACCTGAAAAATTACAAGAAAATTAACTTCAAGTAAATATGGTAACTGACATTTTAGGCCTGACAGTTTAGGCCAGGCGTAGGCAATGTTTTTCGCTTAAGTGCTGGAAAAACTGCAATGTTTACATTGTAAGGTGCCAGAAAAACAAAACTGGGGCAGGGGGTACATGGCAGGATGCACTGCATATTAATATAGTGAATAATCATAAATTTAGTTTATTTTTTATGGTAAATACCAGGTTTTCTAAAAATTCTGTACCTGGTGACAATAACTAAACTTCATGTACTGCCTTTGTTCTTGTGTAGTCTTTTTTGTTAAGCACATTTTGGAGGGAATTGGGAAGAGAGATGAGAGATTGGGAGGGAGGGAAAGAGGCGTGGGGAGAAGCAGGCATGGAGGGAGGCACTGCGGGCAGGTTGGCTCAGGCAGGCCCTTGGGAAGGTGGCAGCCAAAGAAGACAGGGCTGGGCAAGGAGTGGGAGCTGCTCTGGAGCTCCTTAGACATGGGCCGCAGCAGGCGTGCCCAGTGGCACCCAAGGTGAGGCCCAGCCTAGCCCACATGGCTCTGCAGGGATGGAGCTCAGCCACCCTGCCCACAAGAGGATGCCACCTGGCCAGTGCAGGACACCGGGCTCAAGGGATTCCTGCCTCGGCCTGTGTGTATGCCAGGTACAGCGCAAGTGGGGTGGAGCCCCCTGGACCGCTTGAGGCTCAGTTGGCTAGGAGCCTGCAGCATAGCGGCCCTGCACAGTGCCTGCCCCAGCCCCCTGGGGAGCTGCAGGTAAGCAAGGCCAGAGCTGGGGCAACCACGCCAGCTCTTCCCAGGAGCTCTCGCCACCAGGCCCTTGCACCAGGGATGGCTCTGCCCTACTCGCACTGGTGATCAGGGAGCTGAGCCTGGAGCCAGAAGCCAGGCAGCATCCCCTCACAGGCAGGACAGCTGTGCCCGTCCTTGCAGAGCTGCGTGAGCTGGGCCAGGCCATGCCCTACCTTAGGTGCTGTTGGGCACCCCCACCAGCCCACCTGCCATGGCCTGAGCCCACAGAGCGTCAGCCTCCATTTTCCACCCAGTCTCTGCCTTCCTAAGGGCCTACCTGGGATGGCCTGCCTGCAATAGCTCCCCTGCGCCACCCGGTCCCTGCCCCGACCTCCCAGCCCCAGAGCTCGGCACCCCAATGCTGCCCCCACCTGGGTGGGACAGGGCATCTCTCTGCCCAAGCCCAGGGTTCACCCACCTGCTGGAAGCTTCCAGCACAGCACCCGTGTGCAATGCCTGCCCAGGCCCTGGCCCCTCTCCCCACAGCTCCCTCCAGGGGTCAGGCTGGCTGAGAGGCATAGCACGGGGACATGGAGTGGGGTTAACAGAACACAGATTGCGTCCCTGCCTGTGTTCTCCTGACTCTGCCTCTGGGACCTGTGGCTGCTCTGGAGAGCCCAGAGAAGCAACTTAAAAAAAAAAAAAATTGGTAAACAATTTCCTTGCACACCTAGCATGCTGGGGGAAAGGTCTCCATGGCCACTAATTGGCATGCATGCCAGAGGCTGCTGATCCCTGGTTTAGGTCGACCTTCTTCAGTGCCGTGCAACCACCAAGTGTTTCCCCAAGGTTGAGTATTGCAGATCTAAGACTTCTTCTGCTCTGTTCCATTATTCTGCAATAGAGCCCACACTTCTGACATAGCACTACAAAGCCACTTTAGGTTGTGATCTTAAAAGTTATGGCCAAACACTTCATAGGATCAAAAAAAGGTAAATGCTCTGTTCAGGGGAAGTGTTCCTGTCATCTTATGACAGGAATATTTTTTTCCAGCCCTCTCGACATGCATACTACATATAGGGGCATATTGTATTGTTGCATTATGTTCGTTTACTAAAATGTTAATACACTTCATCTATCATTATTTGTAATTATAGACTTCCTAGAGAACCACTAATACATACTTACACTATGTTATAAACAGCTGTCAAATAGCAAAAATGTGCAAACTTGCTATGCTTTCTCCCTTTAGGACTCTCACTGACCTAATCTTGACCAGCTCTCTCTTTTTACCTGCCCATAATTATTGATCCCAAGAAAAGATACAAAAACAACTTAAATGCAGATTCTCTTTACTGCTTGCTACTTATTGAATGTAGAATTCTGTCAGTTGACCTGGGTATACATGTGACCTCCTAACATAAGGGCTAGGTACAGACATTCAAAAAGCCTACGGTGAAATCGATCTAAGTTGCATGGTTTTCTGTAAGCAGTGTAATTTAGATCAGTAGTGAACAGAACACACATTCTCCCTTTTGTGGAGGGGAGCAAATCCTAGACTGGGTTCAGCCATTTTTAATCTGGTCTATGTGTATTGAACTTCTGTTACAGGTATAGATTGGTTTTGTGTGCCAATATTCTGTTCTGTAACAGGTATAGACTAGTTTCCAATCACTTATACTGGTAAAAATGTGATGTCTGTACCTTGCCAGAGTAATTCTTTGATAGGAAGCCCCAAGAGTTTCCGTATACGGGCTACCTCTAGAACGTGGTGTCAGGGATTTTACTTTTTCCTTTATTAGTGATGTGACTTTGTTTATATATACACTGCATGCTTAAAAGCTAAGACATGCTGATGAGTCTGTCAATGTGGATCAGGAGTAAAAGCAATAAACAAATTCATCTTGCAAAACAGCTTTAATTTCATGAACGCACGTCTCTGTCAGAAGCAATTCAAGCTATTTACACTAAAACAACTAAAGATGGGCTAAAACTAAAAAATTAAGTTCTGAACATCTCTGAGCTTTTGGAAAATCTTGGTGTACACTTCTAAAGGCAGCCCAATGATGGACCAAATCAAAAACTCTGATACAGACCAATATACAAATAAAATGCTGTAGCCATTTTGCCCAGGATGCATGCTTCTTTCAGTTTCATTGGCTCTGTGTGTTTTGCCTAGAGCAGTGGTTCCCAACCCTCTTTTTTCCACACCCTGCTGCTCGAAGCAGAGTGCGGCGGCAGCAGCAGCAGTCCGAGGTCAGAGGATCTCCCAGCACATGGTGCAGCTCGTCTTTTCTGTGCGGTGCCGCTGGCATTGCCCCCGTGACCCTCATTTGGGTCACGACCCAGGCTTGGGAACCTCTGGTTTAGAGCCTTCTTCCTTATGGTAAACTCTAAACGCTAAGATCTAACAGTGCATATCCTGTGCTGACTGCATCTACTGACGTGGGAACAAGCATGATCTTACAAATATAGCATGATGATATTCCCTGAGGAGGATGAGAAGATGGGCTGAAACCATTTTTGTGTACTGACTAATTTGGTGAATAGTAAATGTTGTTACATAATTGTAATCAGATCCAAAAGGTGAAGGGGCCTGTTTAAAATTAGATGATTTCTGGAGGGAGTTTTCCAGGATATCGCAGTTTCTCATCACTCCCAGGTATTTGCTACTGTTTCATTTTGTCTTGGGGTTTTTGGGTGTATCTAACATAATTTGTGAACCACTGCAAGAGGGAGCAGGAGAGCTGGTGGAGTTTGTTTGCCTGTTGGATTTTAGAGGGAAAAGTTATGGAGCATACATGTATGTTGAAAATAATTTAATTTCTGTAACTGTATTAAAAAAAATGAATAATCAGAAACACCAGAATTTCACATTGAACAATTACAGTATGTCATGTCAAGCGATGTTGATTTCATTGAATCACTTGGTCAGTATTGTCTTGAATTGACGCTCATGGTTTTTCTTGTTTCAGCTGCTGCTAAATTAGCCAGTAGGGTTTGTGCATCAGACTCATCTCTCCTTATCTTTGTATTTGTATTTTCCAGGTTGGCGAGAGGCAGAGAGTTCTGGTAACAGAAGAATCTTTTGATTCCAAGTTTTATGTTGCTCACAATCGATTCTATGAGCAGGTACAGTTAAATAAACCAAAAAAATCTTTTTATTTAGCCTCTGCTTTTTGATAATCTTTATATGTTAGGCCACCAGTGAAAGTGCACCAGTGCAAAAGAAAAAAGCTTGAGAGAAAAAACACTCAACGCAGGGAAGGTGGGGTATCACCATCTATACTCATTCATGTGTTATTTTGCATCTTTTGGGTCTATACCTCTCCAAAAGGTTTGCTTTTCAATTAATTTAAAATTCCTTTTTGTGTAACTTCGTGTACAGATATCAGAAGGTGTGTCCTGAAGCATTACAGAACTGCTAATTTCTACATATATCAATCTCATTATTTTCTTAATATTTTAATCCTGATGATTTCCAATAATTCTTCAGATAGAAATTTTGCACTTTGTACAATGCACTTCACCAAAATCTGTTTAAAAAGATGAGGAAAAGTCAGAAAAGATCTTGGTTCAAAGACCTAGGCCTCTCCTGTTTAGACTGATAACACTTAAAATTATATACCTTCTTTTTAAATTTCACTTTGTAAATGGAATCATTCTACACAGAAATGTGGTCCTTCTGAACAGGAAATACTGAATCCACCCTGGAAAATTATAACCTTTACAAAAATGCAATTGACTTGTTGCAAGCTAATTTAGCTTTGCTGGAAATTTCTGCATGTCCCTCAATTCTTGCAGTAAAGTTAAGGGTTTTCTTGTGTTTGATAGTTTATAATTGATTGCAGTATTGCTAAGCTTGTCTTAACTGCCATGGTACAGGTGCTAATGGTGACAATTTGTGATATACTAACCAGAATTTTACTTTTTCTTCTTTAACTGCTGTATAATGTTGCAAACACATACCTGACTTTCTGCCTAGTATATAATAGACCTGTCTCGGAATTACTGCTTTCCAGATATTTTTGTCACACAAGGTGTCTATTTTTCCCCAACTTTTTTTTCCAGGCTAAACCTTATTTTTGCTTCTTACAGATCTCTGTGCTTGAAAAATGGGCAAGTAGTTCAAGTTTTTGATTTTCTTTCATAGCTTAGTAGTCAAGCATGAAAATAGTTAGGCAAGATAATGATTAAAAGCTTCCTTTATATGAAAATGTTCCAGTTTCATGGAAGTGTCATTAATTTAAAGACAGAAAATGTTTTATGCTGTTTTTTACAGCCCCTACCACAGTGGGTCCCATGTTTTGACTAGGATAGATAGGGACTACAGCAATATGGATAAAACCAGTAGCCATAATTCAAAGTTTAATTTTGTGAGAGATTTTTCGTTATTTGAATGTTTATGCAAAAAAGTGGTTATGTTTCTTTTCCTCAAAACTATTTACTTATGATATTTGTTAATATAACATGGTAATTATGTTCCTTGTTGGGCTTCTTGTCCAGGTACAGACATTGCACTTTTACCAGTATAAGTTATTGGACACTGCTCTATACCCATAACAGAAGTTCGGCGCACACAGACTGGTTTAAAAATGGCAGAACACAGTTTGAGATTTGTCCCCCACACACCTCACCAAAGGGTGAATTTCTGTTCTGTTTGCTACGTATATAAACTACACCGCTTACAGAAAACTGCATAACTTAGATGGAGTCTACCTCAGGTTTTTTGAATGTCTGTACCTAGCCCTTACGTTAGGAGGTCAAGTCTCCTTTTCCCAGCCGTGCCAGACTTCTGACTCCAGTAGTTTTGTTGACTCTGTAGTGCTTTACAACCACTATTTAGTGAGTAAATATCATTGTTCCTATATTGCAGATTGGGAAACTGAAATTTAAAGAATTAAAGTGGTGTGCCTAAAGCGAACTATTGTTGTCAATTGAAAACTTTGAGACTCTTGGTTTTTGATTGGGGACTTGTCTATATTAAAAGGATTTGTCAGCATAACTAACCATACCAGTAGAGCTCTTATAGCAAACTTTCCCTAGCAGAATCATACCTCATGCCTGCAAAAGAGTTATTTTGCTGGTATGCCTTAAACTAGTTCTCTGGACCAGAGTAAGTGATACCAGTTAAATGACTTGTGCCGGTAAAACTGTGTACAACAGCATTTCTGTTAGCCTAGGTATGTTGGTAGAAGTGTAAAACCTCAAGTGTAGACCAAGTATGACTCTTGATTGACTAAAAGAGCACAGTACCTCCCAGGCATTTTCACACAGCTTCTGTCTCTCTGTTTCCCAGTTTCTAGATGAAGATGATAATGACTTCCCCTCATTCTTGTCTCTGGAAACATGTTACAGATGGGAAAGCTAAAATTCACAGACTAAGTGACTTACGGAGAAAGTACTAAGGGCTAGTTCTTAGCTTTGGGTTACCACTAAGCTTCTGTGAGCTTTGTCTTAGGTAAAATGAAGGCAATGGTACTTACTTACTTTAAAGGAGTCTTTAGGCTGCCTGGCAGAATTGTGGACTTGGGAATCCTGAGCTTGTCACTTCTTTGAGGCTAACCATAGAAACCACCCTTCTCCCGAGAGTGAACCCTCAAAATAACATGAAATGACACCTTATATTTGATCATTGCAGCATTCGTCAGCTATTTTGTAATTATTCTTGTGAAAAATCTTCACTGCTCCCCTCTGAAAATAAGTCTAGGTGGCTAAGCAAGTACCTTAGTTTTATTGCTGCTTTGTCCTGTAGCAGTTTAACTCCATTGTTGGTTCCGTTGCTAGAAGTCCTTGCTATGACATTTGTTCTTGAAGTAAAGGAAGAAAAAACATTTTAGTCATTTTGAAATAACACCATTCTTACCGCTCCACAAGAGTGTGATAAGTTTTCTACATGACATGGGTGAATTTATGGTTTTTCATTTATGTCCTCTGAATTTCTCAAGGATGCCTGGCTCTGCAAGTCCAGAAGGAGTGGCTTTGGCCTCTGTTCTAGTGGCATGCTCCTCTGCTTTCAAATGCACCTGCTGTGTGTCATGATACCAAGACCCTTATCGATTTCTCTGCATATTTCTAAAGCTTAGTTTAAAAAAGAAACTGCTTTGCGAAGACAGTGGTTATGGTCTTGTTTTAATATTTCTTCTATCACAACACTAACAAACACAGTCAAGACAAGGACTGTGAGGACATGCAGAAGGACCCAGTCTGTGCCCTGAAAAAACTTTGAGTGTAGCTTTTTTCAAACCAGCTTGCACAGCACCCAGTCACTGCTCCACTCCCTCCCCCCGCTGCCGCTGTGCTCTTGCCACGGTTTTTCCCCACAGCCAAAGACCCCTCAGCCCCCTGCCTCTATGGGCTGGATAAAATGGCCCCACAGACCAGACCTGGTCCACGGGCTATAGGTTAAACCCAAGGTAGAACATGAGAATGATTGAGATACATGGTTTTGTGCTTTCCTGCTGAAAAAACCCTTTAACCCTTGAAAGAAAAAGGTGGATGCCTGTCCTATCTAGGACCTTCAACATAGAAGATGTGTCTATAACATCTGAGCAATTTCTTTTGCAGGTTCTTGTGCCAAAGGATCCTGGATTTGTAGGTAAAATGGTAGAAGTGGACATTTATGAAGCAGGAAAACATTTTATGAAAGGGCAGCCAGTGTCAGATGCCAAAGTGTATACCCCATCCCTCACCAAACCGTTCGCAAAAGGAGAGGTTTCTGGTGTAACAGAGGTGAGTAAAGATGTTTTCTGCTTTACTACACTGGTGAAACAGCAGCTGTTCCAGCATAATGATTCCAGGATATGTATCTGTTATCGTTTATAGCTCCCCTTTTATGTATGCATGAAGCTTTAATCTTTTCTGACAGATTGAAATCTGAATTTAAAAGATGTTTTTTGCTGATGCCCATAGATTTACTTCATTGCTTCTAAAGGCAATAATGAGCTTGTTTCTTGTTCCAGGATGTAAGATGAAGGAAGAAATTACTAGTAGGGAAAAGATTTAATATCGGTGATTACATAATTCTGTATATTTCGAACTCAGCGAACTGCAGGAAGGAATTTGCATTTTTTTTACCCCCCTGCTCCCTCCAAATTTGTAATTTATAACATGTTAATTTTAAACTTTTATTAATACGTCATCTTGGGGTGGGTCTAGATGTTCAAATGTTACTATTTGGGGTAAAGTACTGCATACCTACAGTGTATTCAATAGAAGCTAAACAGCTGATCTAGTCACGTAGAGAAAATAAAACTTTTTTTCTTTTTTTTTTTTTTTTTAGAGGTAACCTGATCCTTGTTTTATACCATAGTAAATATGGCTGTTTGCCAAGTATTCTTTTATGTTGCATGGAGCTCCAGTTGTAAAAACTGATGAAGTGTGAAATGAAAATGTGTATCACATTTCTAAGCATCATTTGATGTCCTTTCTCTAGCACGATTGTTAGGAACACCAAAAAATATGAAGCAGTAGTTTAGCATATGGCAGAAAGATAACTGACAGTTTATTCAGCCACTTTTCTGGAAGGGGGTGGAGGGTTGCCTTTTTATAGTAAATTGCAAGCAAGTATTAATAAGAGAGAAAATTGACAATTATGGGTTATAGTTTGACGTGGTTTTAAATAGATACTTGTCAACTAGTGCTTAGATAAGGTGGCATGGTAGCTCTATTGCAAACAAATTTAGCTGTGGAAGCAGAGTGCAGTGATATAACAATAATGTATACACAATAATGTGTTTGACAAATCATGGAACTGAAGTAATAACCCCAGGTTAAAATGGTGTTGGGTCTGTGTTTGTGTGTTTGCCTGGCACGGGACTGTAAAAGGAATAAGCAGCCAAAATCTCAAATTGTCTGATTGGATTTTGTAGCTACTTCAACACAGCTGGTTTTTTTATCATAACATTTTTTTAATAATCTACTGGAACAGAACCAGAGCTGTCATTAAGTTGGCTGGCACTGCCAAGTTCGTAGCATGGGAACCAGCTGACAGAATATTGACTGATATTTTATATATATCAAAAGAGGGAAGCTAACAAAATTATTAAAATCAACGCTATTCTTAACGTTTCTGCAGCAAAGTGCAGAGCTACAGTGAGAGGCAAAGTTCTCAAATGTTACACTGTAACCAATCTCTTTCATTCCCAAATCTGTGGCAACTATAAGAGTGGGAAATTGTAAGTGGCTTTTCATTACTTTTTTGGCTGATGATGAGTTAATTCCTTTAAGGAAGTGGCTTTACCTGTTTGCTTATTGGATATGCTAAGGAGGTACTATGCCCCGCCCCCCCAACCTCATTTTCATGCAGGCCCCTGAACCATAGTACTAAACGAGTCATCTTCAACATTAAGATATTAAATCTGAATACCTAGAACCACTGGTTCTTTCAGTCCTGCAGGCCAGATGAGTGGTATAGGATTGGGTCGTGGTCCATGGGCCTGATCCGGCATGCCAGACCCAGCTTAGGACATGGACCTGTGCCCAACCTCGACCCTGTGTGCACCGGATTGGGCCCACTTCCACTGTCACAGCCTTGGCCTCAGCCCTGCATATGCTGGATTGGGCTTGCTGGCCCTGAATGCAGCCCCAACCTTGACTCCATGTGTCCTGGATGGGACCTGCTGTTGCTACAGCCCTGGCCCTGTGCAGGATCAGGTCCCAGGCCTGTGCATGCCAGGTCAGGCCCTGACCCTGGTCCTGTATGTGTGGGAGTGGACCCATTGCCCCAGCCACAGCTCCAACCCCACATGCACTGGATCAGGCCCCAGCCCTGTCCACGTGTGCACCAGTGGAATCCTGTCATCTGGCTCGTGGGGCTTGAAAATTTGGTCCTGGGGAGGGGGCAGGGGAGAGGAGGAGGCAGCAGCAGTGTTAATTGCTAGCAGTCCCCTGCTGCCAAATTTCCAGAAGCTTGGGGAGCCCCACAGGTCACATGACTGTGGGCTGGAATTGATCGGTGGGTTGGGGATTGAGCATCCCAGCATAGAAACATGCTTCAGTCAATTTCTTCTTTACAAAACAGCCTACAGCTATTAGTTTGACCAGTTGCCACTGACAATTGGTATGCTGCCAGCAGACACAGAAAGAAACTGCAGCATTCTGTTTTCGTCATTGCATTTACCTGGACAAATAGGTAGTTTTAATATTAATTATTAGAGTTGGGCCTTTGGCAACATTTTGAGGACTGCCTTTTTTCCACAGATAAACTTGAGGCATTCAGTTTTTGCTCAGCATTTTCCTGCAGTCACCTGTGATGGCCCTTTTCATATATGAGAACATAGTGCCCATTTGGGCCCCATAGCATTTGCAGCTATCAGGTTGTAACTAGCTCCTAAATGGTTCTCTTTAGCAATCAGATTGCAATCACTCACCATAACTCTGTTCCTGGACAGGTAGCTAACAGTCAGTACCTTCTAGCTGGCAAGGCAGGTGACTGAGATGCGTAAGAGATCAGCGATCATGGTACCATTAGCACCGGGCTATCGTCAAGGATGCAAACTGCTCTCATCTGTTTACATTTTTGGGGGTGAGAAAGGTTCCTGGTTTGGGAACCTGTTGAAGAGCTATGTGAATTTATACTTAGGTTCAGGCCATCTGGAGCAAGACCAGAACATTGGGAAGATATAGGCCCTTTTCCAGGAAAGTGTTTAACCATGCTTAAGTCCACTTAAAAATAAATTATCTAAACACATTCCTAACTCCAAAGTAAATGGGATTTCAGTACAGACCAGAAAGTTAAGCGAGTGCTTAAGTATTAAGTAATGATAGAATACTCAATACTCCAGAGTCATGGCAGCACACTCACAGTTGGACCCAGTAAAAAAAAATGTAGTGTGGTTTGAATATTTCATGGATTCCAGTCATACTCCTTCTCTCTAATGAAGAATGTTCTGCTAGAAATATTAGAACCTTCCAAAACCATACACATTTTTAAAAGACAGACGCTGGTATAAGTCAAGGGGATCAAGTAAAATTTTAAAATTGAAAACCCCAGGCCCTGCCCTTGCAGCAGCTCCAGACACCCAGCTGTTGCCTGTGGAAGGCAGTGGCTTCTGTGATGGAGCATATCACAGAGCACGGCTCTCCTTCCCCTGAAGGCAGTACGGCTGAAGGAGAGCCCATGGTGGGGTGGGTGCAGGCTGCCTGCTGTGGGCTTGGGCTCTCTGCCCTGCTACCCTTCCCTCCCCAGGGCCTCTGAGGCCCAGTGGGCAAAACCTGGCATGGCAGGGCAGAATGGGGCTGGGTGGGGAAGCTCAGTGTCTCTGCTGTGAGCCCCGCACCACCCTGGCAAAACACTCTCTGACTGTCCAGCAGTGGTGAGAGACACAACTCTGCACTGCCACCCACACTGCTGCTGGGTGGGCAGGGGGCATCTTGTAAGGGTGTCACGGGCCTTTTAGCAGCAACGAACTTCCCTGCCAGGCCCTAGTCTGCCCTGCCATGCCAGGTCACGCCCGCTAGGCTGCAGAGGCCCCAGGGTGGGAGGAGGGTGAGGAGCCTGCACTGGCCCCGTCTCGGGGGCATGTACCCCCCCCCCC